CTCAAAGGAGAGGGAGGGAGGGTGGCTGAATTGAGATTTTTGGAGCCTCGGATGGTGGTGCTAGAGGGAGGCAGTGGTGTGATTTTGCAGGAGACGAGTGTGGGAACGGGGGCTGGGTCTTCTCTAGTGAGCAGCAGGCTCTGAACTTCATGGAGTGAGTATACAGATGGAGTGGATCACTCCTACCGAGCCAGCAGTGGTTGGGACTCATCTAACATCAGCGTGAACTCTTAGGAAGAGGAAAATCAACGATGGCGTTGATTCTGCAGAGAACGAGCTCTTCCTTTCCCAGGAGATAGCTTTCCCCTGGGGTTGCAACTTGAGGACCCCATCACTGGACTTTGGTTTTAGTAAACAGATGTCCCCTGTGGGCAAATGCACGGAGAAATAGCAGGTGGTGATAAATGAGCTGCCAAGATCGGAGGTGCACAGAAACACTGAATGAGGACAGAGTTGCCGACAAAGTTTAGATCTCTCAGGCCTGCATTTGGGGTCCTAGAGAAAAGTAAGTAGGGACCTCAGTAAACCCCTGAGGCCTGATGGTTCGTGTGCATGGCTGACCTATCCATGGGAAGGCAAAGGGGTATTGTGCCTGGGGGTTGGAAGGTTTGCTAAGAGAAGCCCAGCGTGGTCGATGACTGCAGGAGGGGTGGATAGAGGCCAGATGGTGTGAAGGTCCACCACAGGTGGAGGACACCTAGGGTTGACTATTTTATTTATTGCTCACAAGTCTTAGATTAATTGGCAACCCATTTGGCTTCTTTATTCAGAGGATGAGATTATCACAGGAACTAAAGATGGGAGCTAAGAGCTCGTCGTCAATGAGACCTTGAATTACAGGCTGGATACTTCAGAGGATCCTTGCTCTAGAGGATATTATGGTAATGTTGGGAGTGGCACAGAAAGTTCTATTTCAACACGGAGAGGTTCAGCCTTCCAGACTGAGCCTTTGTCTGTGGAGTGAGCCTCTCAAGAGGAATCATGAATGTCTTCATGCTGATATCACAGGACTGGGTTTGTTATCTTGTGACTGATACAAAGGTTGAGTTCAGCCTCAGTTCCTCTCTCTGAGTCTTTAGCCAGGTACATGGAGCAGAAAGGCCCTTACCAGATGCCAACATCATCCTCTTGAGCTTCATGAGTCACCTAATTGAGACCCAAATAAACTTCTTTTGCTTATAATTCACCAAGTCTCTGGTATTCTATCATAGTAACAAAAAACAGATGAAGACAGTAACAGAAACAAAGTAACTCAGTCACCAAGAGCCAAAACCAGAGTCACTCTACTTAATATCCTCTAATCCACATCTACAGTTAGAGGCAGATTTCTTTCTTTGTGGACTGAACTCCCATGCCTTTGGCCAATCTGTTTTTTGAAAGGAAACAGAGGGAATGGATTCCAAAGTCTTTCCTCTAAGGTTTTAGTGTATAAGCGTCAGGCATGTCCTGCTTTCTTGGATGAAAGTCTTCATGAAGAGTGACCTATTGAAACATAAAGTGGCATGTCTGGTGCACAGACGGCTGCAAAAGTTGGTATAAATCAGAAAGCCCAGGAGAACAGCCTGGAGGACCAGACTGAGTTCATGACTGAACACGTCCCTATTTTCTGTGTTGGGAAAGTCTTTGATAGTCTCATGTAAATCTGAGTGAGCCCTTGTGCAGGTGGGCACCCAGGAGCTGACCTTCCTGCAGCGGGGGCCTGGGGGTGGGAGCAGGGAACTTTACCAGAAACAGAGAAAGGGAAGGCGAAGGGGAGGGGGCTGAAAGAGGAATCTGATGAGTGACAGGGGAAGTGGGGCCCAGGGAGGGCTCTGGGTTTTATTGGAGGTGGAAGAGGAAGTGGAGGAGAGGCCTGTGGCAAGAGAGACCATCCTTAAGGGAATGGACAGTTTGAACTTCTTGTACCAAACAAAATGAGCTGACCATTGACGGGGTCTTCGAGTTCCTGCATCTTTCCATCTTATTTTGAGACAGGGTCTTGCTACATTGCCCAGGCTGGCCTTGAACTTGTGATTGTTGTGCCTCGGTCTCCAGGTGGGGTGGGGGTGAGGGGGATTCTAAGCAGTCTCCAGGAGGCAGAGAACTGGAGACACAAATGAGGAAGGGGATGGTTTTTTTTCCAGAAGTTTCCACCAGGTTGATCCACATGACACCCAAACTTTCCCCCTTCACGTCCTTAGAGACTTTTTTTCAGTAAACTTACAGGATGCTGTTCAAGAAGTCTGGAGTGTGAATTGTGTTCACGTCCAGCCAGCCCTTGCTGAGAAAGGTCTGGAAACAGGGTGAGGGGAAGGCTTGCTTCGTTCCTGGCGCCAGGCACCTAGAAGAGTCTCTCACCTGCCAGGGAGGTGGGCAGAGGGTGCCTCCTCCTGCGAGGACCCCATCTGCCTCCCCCTAACTGTCCTCTTTACACCCGGCCTGGGTTTATCTACGTGTGATGCCCAGATCCCTCTGAGCGCTTTTACAAACCCGTCACGTCTAGATCCACGGAGACCTTTTAATGTCGGATTGCATCTTCCAGTTGCACCACCACCTCTGGGGAGCAAGGCCGTGGTAATTCTCCTGCTCCCCCGTGTCCTAACCAGGGGGAGCTGCATGTCCTCTGAACTCTCCTGGGTGTGTGATAAATGTCCAAGTGTTGAAAGAGGAAGGCAAACAAGCGGCTTTCCTAATGGAGGGGAAAGGTGAAGGGTGGGGAGGCTGCTCCGTGCATCCCTAGAGCCTGTGAGGGAAGGGGGGCTCCCAGGAGCTGGCAGAGGGAGTCTCCGGGGTCCCCAGGCCCAACCTCATCAGCACATGCCCTTCCCCCTCCTCCCAAGCAGCCGCGCTCTCAGGGCCTGGATCTAGTCCTCCGTGTGGAAATCTGTCAGGAACTGAGATAAGTGCCAAGGAAGGAGGGCAGAGGGCGAGGGCAGCCGGGTAGGATGACAGAGGACACTGCAGCCCCCACCCCTCCCCCCTGACATCTGGCGCTCAGGCTTTCCATGGCCACACTTCTGGGCTCCTGGGGGAAGGGGAGGGACACACTCAAAGAGAATTGCCACAGAAGGACAGAGAAGCCAGCGCCAGCGCCTGAGTGTGTTTTCTTTTCGGGAGATGATGTGAGGCGTGCAAAAGTGAGCAGTGATGGTTTGCAGGAGCCATGGCCCGCGCCAGGGCTCAGCAGACGCCATTCCAAAAGGGGGGGGGCAGTGGCGGCGGGGCGCTGGCTGCAGCCCTGGCGGCGGAGTCTCCGCTGCGCAGATTGGATTTTATGTCCCTGGCTTCACACTCAGTCCTCAAACATAGACAAGCTGCAAGATGGATGGTTTTAAGATCGGTTCGCGTGTCATTAAAGCACCCCCCCCCCATACACACACACACACACCCCGGCCTGTCTTCCTAGAAGTTTCTGGGCTCCCAAAGTTTTGAAGCTGTATTAGGAAAAAAAGTCCAGAAAAATAAGTGCAGTTAGAACATCAGGGTTTTTTTTGTGCCCACTAAAAATGGCTTTTGCACCCTCGGCCAAAACACGGAATCAGCTCTCAGAATCAAAACACAAGCCACAGGGACCGAGGATGGTGCAGAAAGAGCCAGATGTGGTTCCCAGATGACATGCTTGGCCTCAGTTCCACGCCAGGAGCACACGGCCCTCCTACAGCCACTGGGGGAGCCCGGTGTCCCGTGGAGAACCTGGGCCAAATGGGCTCCGAAATGGTTTCATGAAAGCATCTGTAATGTTCATCCCCGTCCAAAAATGTTTTCGGTAAGATCCAGCTAATGCGATGTGCTGGATCAGTAAACACGCCTGCAGAACCGGGCGCTTCCTCCCCGAGGACCGTGGTGTTTGCTGCAGGGGGTCTGCACGGTCCTGGCGTCTGACCAGGCCACGTTGCACAGCAGGACACCCCGCGGTCCAGCTGCAGGAGCTGCCTGCGTGGGGGGGGGGGGTCCACCTCAGCTGCACGGCAGCAGGGAAGCCTCCTCTGCTTCTCACTTCATGGCCCTGCTGAGCCCAGCCGCCGAGGCTGAGCCGATGCGCAGCCGCCCCCTCCTCACGCAGCTGCGCAGGGCTGCTGCTGAGCTGAGAGCCAGGAGCCTGCGAGACTCCACAGCGCCCTCCCGAGTGACCTGGAGGAAACCCACTGCACCTTGAAACAGATCCTTCAACTCTGGGCTTTGTCTAACTTAAAAGGACATTGAACATATTGCTTTGTAAGTAAAATAATGACAAGAGCAGGAAGCGGAAAGGAAACCAGTTTTTTCAAGCTACCCCTCAGCTCCCTGAAGACGCAGCTCTCCCCATCAACCAAGGACTTCATCTATAATTTGTTGGTGTAGGGAACAGTCCTGTGCTTGGACCAGGACGCTCTGGGGACAGGTTCCCCCCCCCCCATGAACACACTCAGTGGCTGCTGTAGTTGTCACCGAGTATCCAGCTCCTACTATGACCAAGGGTGTGTGCCCACTGCTGGAGGACACCGAGGAGACCCATCCAGCTTCAGGTCAGGTGCAGGGTGCGCTTCCTATTTTCTAAGAGAAGTCCCTGGTTCTCAGCTTTCAGGCACCGTACTTTCCACTTGCAAGGGCCGAGACTGTTGTCTGGGGGGCTGTTAAGCAGATACCCAGCACACCCAGTGGAGCAAGGCAGACCCATCTCCCACAACAGCCTGGGAAGACCAGGGCGCACAGGGGAGAAGGGCCCACTGCCCTCCCGGATCAGAGTGCTGGGAATTCCCAAGTGCCTCTCAGTCCTTGACATCTGCACATCTTTGGGGGCCAGAAGTCTGGCTCTCAGCCCTCCATTACGCAGACCGAGTGGAGTCTCAGCCATGCGTGACAGCCCACAGCTTCTCCTCTGGTCTCACGTTCCAGGAACCCCCACCTCCTCCCCAGCTCTGTCTTTCACATGTCCCAATGACAAAATGGATGGCGCCTGTTTGAGTTCTGTTTGCTCATCCCCTGTCAAGTCAGTGAATGGCAAAACACACACACACACATACAAATGGGCAAAAATAAGCCACCGTCTCCAAATAGATTACAAGCCGAGAAGTGAATAAGTGATCGCCTACGGTTTGCCAGCTATCGGAGTCTCTCCATGTGTATGAAATCTGTGTCAGTATAGGCTGCAGGACTCGGGATCAGCAGAAACGTGCAGAAAGGGACCCTTCTCCCTGTAGAGGTTGGACAGGCTCAAGAAGGGCCCAAAGGTCACCGATTCAGGAAGTCCCAGGAGTGTGGGACACAGGAAAAGGAAGGGGTTTTTTGCAAGGAGTCCCAAGGCTACACCCAAGGAGCAAGGGTGTCACCCCATTTCCAAGGTGGAGTGGATCCACCCACAAATAAATTCAGGAATGCAGAATGGGGCTGGATAGGAGAAAGGAGGGAGGTGACACCACCAGCCAAGGAGGCCAAGGGTCAGCAAAGAACAACTATAAAACAATTGGGTGGCTTAACAATGAAACGAAGAACAAAGGTCAGCTTCTGGCTTCAGCTTCTCTGTGCAGTTCATTTATTCTTCAATCACTCATTCATTCCCTGGCCAGTGTCTTTCCACGTCCATATCTCCTGGGGATAAAAAGAGCCCTCTGGAGACTAAGGAGAAGGCACCACAGTTAGTCCTTGTACCTTTAAGCTGTGGCTTCTGCTCAGTGTAAAGTACTTTTTACTGAGTAGGAACAGTTTCAGGAACTGTTCAGGGTCCTCTGGTGGTTGTGTAAGAAACCCGATCTCATTGCAAGATGCTCCCCTCTGACACCCCATGCTTTGAAGACCTCCTCCACTGCTGGCCGAGGGTCAGCTGCAGAATTCTTGCTGGGTTCAGCATTTCCTTTGTCTCTTGGGCCCCGACGTCAGGTTCTGACAAGTGTAAGAATTTTCCCTAAATTTTCATGAAACACAAAAGAAACTCTTGTGTGGAGGAACATCATGGGGGGTGGGGGTGGTTTCTGGATTGTGGCATGTGTCCTGACATTTATATTCCTCTGCTGAGCTGTGCTGGAGGAAGGATGGGGAATACCTACTACCCTCCCGTCTGTGATGCTGGGGATTCCCTAGGATCTAGCTCAAGAGCCCTGTGTGCCAGCATCTGTCCTCCTACCAACCGACCCTTGGTGCCTCATTTCTGCTACTATGGGGGGGAAAAAGATAAAAGAAAAATAGTTTGGTGTGTTAGATAGTCTTCCATTACCCTAACAAACACCTGAGATATTCAGCTTATAAAGACAAAAGGTTTATTTGGACTTACAGTTTTAGAGGTTTCAGTCCATGATTAGATGGTCCTATTTCTTTGGGACAGCACATCATGGTGGGGAGTGTGTGGTGTTACAAGTTGCTCACCCTTCAGCAACCAGGAGGCAAAAAAGAAAGGTGAAGAGGGTCCAGCCATCCCTCCCAAGGGCACACCTCCAATGAGCTAAATTCCTCCCACTAAGCCCCACCTCTTAAATGTTCTACCAGCTCCCCAACAGTGCCACAGGCTGGGGACCTTTAACAAATGGGCCTTTGGAGAACACTTATCCAAACCACACCATTAGGGGATAGAGCAAGAGAGAGCTTGGTCTAAACCAGGTCTCTCAAACTTGGCACTACCAGTACCTTGGAACAGAGAATTCTTTGTTGTGGAGCTGCCCTGCGCCTCGTAAGATGTTTAGCAACAACTCCAGCCTCTGCCCACGAGCTGCCAATAGTACCCCTCTCAGCATAACTAATAAAAATGCCTGCAGACATTGCTGCATGTCCCTGGACAGAGGAGACTGCCCAGTAGAGATCCCTAGTACAGTCCTGCACAGTAATCCAGAGCCACAGGTGGCCGCTGAGCACATGGCTAAATCAAATTGAGATGAGCTAAGGATTAAAATATACCCTGGATTTCAAATACCCAAATGAAAAAAAGGAAACAAAGTAAACTATCTCACAGATATTTTTATATTAATATATTTTTAGATTCTTGGTACTTCATATTGATTACATGCTGCAATGACACAGTTTTTATACATTAGGTAAAATAAAATATAAAAATTCACTTCGCCTCTTTATTTTTTACTTTTTATAATGTAGTTACTTTTTTTCGGGGGGAGGGGGGTATGGATACAAGGATTGAACTCAGGGGCCCTCAATCACTGAGCCACATCCCCAGGCCTTTTTTATTTTAGAGACAGGTCTCACTGTGTTGCTTAGCACCTCGCTTTTGCTGAGGCTGGCTTTGAACTCCTGATCCTCCTGCCTCAGCCTCCCAAACAGCTGGGATGACAGGCATGTCCCATTGCACCCAGCGATAATGTAGTTACCTTTTTTTTTTTGTCATATTTATTTTTTAGTTGTAGTTGGACACAATAGCTTTATTTTATTTATTTTTTATTTTAGGTGATGCTGAGGATCAAACCCAGGGCGTCACACGTGCTAGGCGAGTGCTCTACTGCTGAGTCACAACCCCAGCCCCAGGTAGTTACTTTTTAAAAACTTGAAATGATACATGTGGTTCACATTGTCCTGCCCTGGGACTGTCCAAGATCTCCACTGATCCTGACCGAGCTGGACACAGGCAAGTTCAAGTTTCCTGTAACGGACTGGCTCTCACAGAAGCAAAGAAACCACTTTCCATCACTCTCTGCAGACAGCCGAAGCATAACGGTGTGGACCCAGAATCTGCTCAGGAAATCTCCACCGCTCTCCCTGGGGAGCATGAGAGTCTCTCTCCCCAAGATAAACTAAGGTCGCTGTGAAGAGGCCCGGCTCCGCCCACCCCACACAGGAAGCAACCCCAACTGTCTACATCCTGCTCTGGTGGATGCTGCAGGCTGTGTCACTCCTGGCAGAAGCCTGAGGAAGCCCCTGTGCACCCCCTCTTGCCTGCGAGGCTCCCCGTCCTTAGGAAGCTCCGCCCCTCCTCCTGCCCTTACGTCCCTCAGAGGCCCCAGTGCTGACCTTGGGTCCCAGCCTAAAGCACTGCTGGGAGTGGGTGGAGACCTTAGGAGGCGGGGCCTAGCGGGAGGAAGTTATGTTCCTGGGGCGTGCCCTTGATGGGGTATTGGCACCCTGACCCCCTCCATCTCCTGTGCCCCCCTCTTTCTTGGTTATTAGATGAGCAGCTTGGCTGCACCCTACCATCTTGTGCTGCCTCCCACAGGCCTGGGCAATGGGATAAGCAATCATGGATTCAAATTGCTAAAACGGTGAGTCCAAATAACTTTTCCTCTTTTTAAGTTAACTTATCACCAGTATTCGACACAGTAACAGAAAGCTAGCAACCACTCCAACCCACTGACTCCTAGCCATGGGAAAGCACCCTGTCTTGCCTGTGCTAGGCATCTTGCTCTCCCCTCCCTGAAAACTATGGCAAACCATAAGCACCAGCCTCCGTTGTCACCCATGCACGTGCACACACACATGCACACACACGCATGCACACATAGACACACCCCATCCCTGCACACGATCTAGCAACATCTCTGAATGACTGCAAGCTTTCAAAACAAAATCCACAGGGTGAATTTGGATTCAGACAAAAATCTGCTTTCAGTCTGGAACGACAAACCAACAAAATGAGCCCAGAGGCCTGATAGCTTTCTGGGAATCTATGCATTTAAAAAAATGCGTATAAAACACAGCTTAAGATCTCTGTATATGTTACTGTTTCTACATATCACCGTACAAGGTGAATTGCTCAGTGTCACATTTCTGCTACAAGTCAGAAGAGGGACTCATACCCAGGACCCCTGGCTTTGCCTTACCATGCTCTCCCTATCCCACACTTGTCCTGAGATTCCAGAGAACATGGAAACAGACCTTCCCTCTCCACCAGCATAGGCTGGCAGCCTGAGGGAGGGACAGTGAGACTGCCAGGCCCTCATTTCTATTCCTGGGCACTCCTTCCTCTGAGGAAATGATGGCTATTATGTGGTCACCACCCTCCAACAGACCACATTGGGACACACTTCTCTTACTGCCCTGAGCCTAGCTAGAACTCACTGCAACAATTCAGCTGGGCCTCTGAGGGGTTGACACACAGCTAAACAGGATCATCTGATCTACCCCATGTATTTCTTTCTCAACAATCTACAAAAATGATTTTTTTTAAGTATTGAATGTAATCCATCCGGGTTTCAGGGGCTCTGCAAATAGGTGGTTCAACTGCATTTTTTTTTCCAATGGGGTGGTGGTGGATGGAGGGGTTCATTAGAATAGCCAGTTTAGAGGAGGTGTGGAAATGCAGGGTTATCTTATCAGATAAAGTGTTTATCCTCAAGATAACTGAAGGGCTGATCCAAGTACTCTGTCATAAAATTACAGAAGGAGTCTTAAAGTGAGAAAGAATATTACCATGTGAATAGGCCCAACTCCAGGACTCGGAAGGCATCTTCTCTCAGGTATCTGGACCTACAGAGCATGAAACTTAGTAGAGCATTCAAAACAGAGCCGTGAGCCAGGTCCCCAGGGGGGACTAGAATCACCGAACTGGCATGATTTCCACAAATGTGCTCGGCAGAGGTTTTGGTTGAACTTTTAAAAAGAAATGTTCTACTGCAGTCAATAATCTTACAAAATGCTGCCCTGCTGATAATGGGACTGGAACAATAGGAGGTACTGTGAAATACACAAGCAAAACCTGAGTAAATTGTAACTCCTTACAACACTAGATGCTTGTTAAAAAAATATATCAATAGAGATGGGGTGTGTAATTCAGCGGTGGAGCACTTGTGGAGCATGCCCGAGGCCCTTGGTTCTATCTCCACGTGGCACACACACACACAAAAATACTATTTACACTAGTTGTGGAAATCCAGCACGGCTCTTCCTCAGAAAAATTAAAAATGAAATTGTCAGATGATCCAGCAATTCCATTTCTGGGTGTATGCCCCAAAGAATTGAAATCAGGGTTCCAAAGACACACTGATAAACCCTTGTTCATTGTTTCCAATAGCCAAAGGTGGAAGTTATTCGGGTGTCCACCAAAAGATGAATGGAAAAATTAAAAATGATCATGTACACGCAATGGAATATTCACTCAGTGTTAAAAGGGAACCTAGTACAACTTGGATGAATCTTGAGGATATTATGCTAAGTGACATAAGTCGGTCACAGAAGGACAAATACCATAGGATTCCCAAGAGTAGACAGCTCATAGAGACAGGCAATGGTGATTGCCAAGGGCTGGGAGAAGGCGGGTGGGCAGTTAGAGCTTAATGGGCACAGAGCTTGTTCTGGAAGACAAAGAATTTCTGCTGGGGGTGATGGTTGTACTACAATGTGATGTACCATGTCTCTAAGCCGCACACTCGAAATGGTTAAAATATGTTTTATATACGATAACACAATTTTATAATATTATGTGTGGGCTAGGGATATAGCTCAGTGGTAGACTACTTGCCTAACATGTGCAAGACCCTGGGTTCGATCTCCAATACTGAAAAAAAATTTTTTTCAAAAGGAAGCAGAATTGGAAGGGGGAATAATACAGGCATACTAAACCCTAAAGCCCCAGATGAAATGAGAGCTGATGCCAGAGAAGGTAGGCCCCCGGATGTTGGTAATGTACTGTTTCTTAATCAGTGTGTTAGTCGCATGAGCATTTTTTAATTTGCAAACATTGATCAAACTATACATTTAGGATGTGGCACTTTTCTGAATGCGTGTTATGCTTCAATTAAAAGTTTGAAAAAGAGCTAGGGATAGAGCTCAGTGGATAGAGAGCCCCTCTAGCATGCATGAGGCCCCCAGTTTGATTGCCAGCACTGCAAATAAATAAAGTTTGAGAAGTCAGATGAATAAAAATTAAAACCTAACTAAATCAGAAAGTCCACAGGCTGAAAGGTAATCTCAAGTCTATAACAATATATGATAGACAGTTCACTTGTGTTCTCATTTGGCTCTAGGGACAACTTCTTTAGTTCTCACATTTATAAAACAATTCTGATTTTTGTGTTCATGGCCACTTCTGTTCATGGGCAAGATCAACACCCCCCCACTTCTCCGCTCCAAAAAAGTCTGATTTAAAAAAAAAAAAAATCCTGGGAATCCCTTCCCCCAAGGCTACTTGACACATCCAGGTTTCGTCGAACAGTTTGAGTAAAAAACAACTTGAGTGTGTGGATTTCTCAGGGTGCAGCTTTGGCAGGATCAGGTAAATCACAGGTGCACCCTTACCTGGACCAGCCAGCAGCTTATTCATTAATCAGGTGCTTAACCGGCTGTTGCTCTAAGTTCCTCTCTGGCCTGGCAGACTGGTGGCTTTGGACTGGTTCCCAGTTTGGGGCCCCTGCAGCTCCCCTTTTCCTCTTTTGGCCAGAACTTCTCTCGGCAGATTTCTGGGCCATAAACCTGGCTTCTGCCAGACTTTGCTCTCAGCTGGATTCCCCAGAATCAGAGTTGGTATCTTCCGCTTTCTCCCATTTTCCTGGACCACGGCGGCTCCCCAACCTGCTCATTCAGCTGATCTGAGCTGTTTTCTCCACAAGAGGTCCTAGGTCTCCTTCCTTTCTGCCTCCTCATTTTCCAAAGCTGCTTTCTTTTTTTTTTTCTACTTGACTCTAAATTCCTTCCCTCACCTGACTACAAGGCCTAGGGCTCACAGAAGCCCGTTCTACACTCCACTACCATTCGGCCCTTTTAATCTTGGCTTTTAAAAATAACTTGGGACTGGAAGTGTACCTCAGTCTTCCCGTGCTCGCCTACCATGTCTGAAGCCCTGGGTTTGATCCCCAACACTGTTTAAAAAAAAATAATGTAAAAAAAAAAAAAAAACAAAAACCTATGTGGATTCTTCACAATATATCAAGCCCTGAATTCATACAATCTAATGTTCACAGCTTCTTCATTTTAACAGGGAAGAAGCTGAAGCTCAGAGAAGTAGGAATTTGCAAATCCAGGATGCAAGGTTTGCCTGGCTTTCGCATGCTACCTATCATACCAGGTGTATTTGGGGCCTCGTGTACATTCTGCTGAGATTAAGTCTCCTGCTGGGTTCTGTTCTCCCAGGACCTCGACATGTGGATCTCCCTGTCTTTTTCTCGTCATAGAAGAACATTCACAGGGAATCATGAAATGTCAGGGACTTAAAGAACTCTCTGGAGTTCCAGCTGGAGATGACTCAGTGGTATATAATACTTGCCCAGCATGCACAAGGCCCTGGGTTCCATCCCCACACTACTAACCACTACTACTACTAATAATAATGATAACAGTAACAATGGAGTCTCTAGATGTCTTCTGGTTACCCCCCTTTTATTCCAAGGAGCAGACTGAGCAGCTTGGCATGCACCTAACCTTGGGGAAATACCTGTGTAAAGTGCTATGGCTGAACAAGATGGAAAACCATCACCCCAGATCACACCATGCCATCTTTTACTTGGGAGTGGAGGTTATAAAACAAACCAATCTTAAGCGAGAACTTATACGACTTATTTCAGACCCAGCTCTGTCCCTTGGGGGAGCCAGCACCAAGAGCTAGCTTTACCCTTTACCACCAATCCCTTGCAGCTGGGGAGCAGGACCCTGTGGCCCTGTTAGGCCAGGACAGCACATGCACAAGGGCTTCTATTGTTTTAGAAACCCACTCCATACAGTCTCGGGCTGCATATGCACCATCAGGCAGCCAAAGACAGACAAAGCCAAGATTTCAGGTCAGTTTTGTCAAAAAGAGAGAGAGAGAAAGAGAAAGGAGGGGCATTTAAAACTTTTTCCCCCCTAGAATTTGTTCAGGATTATCAGAAAAAAAATTTTAAAAATCATTCTTTAAGGTTGAGTGGGGCAAGGGGTAGGGAAAGATTCATTTCCTAATGACAGGCTTTTGCAACCAAAGTTCCAAATAAAATAAATCCTTCTTTTCCATTTCTACATAGGGAAAAGGGAGGGTGGACTACATGTATGTAAACCTCATGTGAAAACGATGCTCACTCTAATATCAGCTCAGCCTCCTCCACTTCCTGTCCTCCACTGCCCGCCCCTACCAGGCAGAGGAGAGCAGTGGTTTGTGACCCCCAGCAACTCTTCCCACAGTATGACCTCGTCAATCTCCATGACCACTGGCCCTCAATTTCAGAAAAGCTGAAGGAGGTCCACTCTGTACTCTATTTCATGTTTATTTTTTTTTTTCCCAAAAAACTTCACAACTTGGGACAGGCTAAACTCAGGAGCACCCACGTTTGCCCTGTTCCCTGCCCAGCCATGGAGCGCGTTCATAGCACCATGCTCTACTTTGGCCAGATTTGAGCTTGCAGGAGGAAAACGGGTCCCTCTTTCAGCTTCTTCCCATCAAATCCGGTGACAAAGCTTCCCAGTTACCAAAACAGAAGCATGTCGCAGGCTTGCCTCCCACACCTCTGAACTTTGTTCCTTGATTAAGTGGGATTAGATTCCCCTCTAAACAGAACTGGACCGTTTCCAACCAGTGTCTTCAGGTTCTTCAAACATTAACCCAGCAGATGTTTTTTTCTAGAGGATTGTGTTTGGCTTTGGAGTTGGCTCCCCAGGCGCCAAGTGGAAAGTCTGAGGGGTGGATCCACAGTGGCCACCCTTCCCCCCCCTCCACTCCTCCCCACCAGCATGGCAGGAAAAGGAAGCCCCCCTTTGTGTGCACAAACCTGCTGACAGGCACCGCCTCTGCCAACACGCTGTGCTTTCCTCTGTCCAGCTGTCAGGAGCTGCAAGGGACAAGGAAAAGATGACCCTTCTGTTCCTAAACGGACAGGGGGAGATGGGCCAAGAAACGCTGGGGTCAGGCAGAGAAGGGCTGGACCATTTTCCCCTCCTCCAGCCTCACCAGCGCTGCCTGACTTTTGACATCTGTTGCCCAGGAAGAGAAGCGACTGCTTCTTGGAGCAGCTGTAAGGGAAAAAGCTCACTGACCCCAAAGGAAGGAAATTCAACCCCGCAGACCCTCCAAGAGGCTGGCCTGCGAGTCTGTCCCCGTCCAGCCTGGAAACGAACAAGGCAGGGGCCATTAGAGGGCAGCATGAGCCTGTCGCAGAGCACAGATCCGGCTCTGGGTCAGCCCCCCCCCCACCCCGCCCTTCAAGGACAGGGTGTCGCCAAATGCAAAAGCACTGGGGCTCCAGCGTCCGCAGGAAAAAAACAAGCTGCAGAGAACTCGGGGAAGGGGAACGGGGAGCA